GTTTTATGTTCACGTTTTATTGTCAAGGGGTATTTTAAATTTAAACGCCCGTCTAAGTGGTGGCCCAAACTTCGTATTATGAGCAGGCATTTGGTCACGTGCAATGCTTAAAGTTTTTTGAAGTCTTAAATGTGAAGTTTCATTTCGAAGTATAGGCCAGCATTAAAGATGTATTTATATTTCTTATCGTTGATGGCATTCAGCTGGCAACAAAATGTTCGCTATTGCTTTATATTTTTCTTGTCACGCAAGATCTCTTTAACATTTGAAATTTTATATCTGCTTACATGACAAGCTAAATACTAAGTATTGCCTTGACATTTCACACGACATTCAGACTTGTCTTAAATATTGCGGACACCGTAGTGATTCAAAATTGCGACTCGACCCCATTCTGAACACTCGTTGAGAGCGATGAGTAGTTTGTTCAGTATAGCGGAGGTGATGGAGAATACGGCGGGATCGGAAGTAGAGTCGGATGGTTGATTGGAGGTCGCTGAGATGTGGATGTCTGTGAGTGCTGCGACTGTATTCGCCACGACCTAAATGCAAAGATGAATCCTACTCGGTAAGACAGAAGATATGAAATTACCATAGGGTTGCTATCCGAAATCATATCACGAAGCTGATCCAAAAAGCCATTCTCGATGACAAGCTCGGGCTTGAGATCATACAGCTTTGCAACGCAAAGCGCAGCAGTCTTTCGAACATATGGGTTGTCATCTCGCAAGGCGCGTTGAAGAGGGTCGCATAGATAGTCTATAATTTTCTCTGCGCGCAGACATCCCATAGTTCGAATCGCCAGTGCGCGTACGAGAGGATTGGGATCCTCGGAGTCCTTGACGAAGGTGTTCACGGCCAATATGACGAGTTCTGGTTGTGTCTTTGCATAATTCATGAGATATAGATATACGAGCTTCTTCTGTTCGAGGTCATCTGTCTGCATATTCTTGAGGACATCGGGGAACAAGCCGCTGACGTCTAGGATGTTTTAAGCGCGGTGGGCAGATCGAGCGAGAAAGTGCAGCACCTTTACCGACGGTCATAGATGCTATGACGCGCTTGATAGCATCTTTTCGTTTATCGCGGTACTCGCTATTGAGATCCACGCTGAGCTCATAGTTTTCGCCTTTCCGTGGTGCTCGTATGCTCATTGGCAAAGGATAGAGATTACCCCATTACATAAGCACACTAACTTGGTTTCGTGGCGCACTCGAGCACGCTCGTTGGTGCCTGAGTTAAGTGCACTGCGACTGAGGCCCATGGTATCCTCCTGAATATGATGCCTGGGGAGAATCAAATATGGATCACGGATCGAGCAGCGTTTTTAAGTTAGTCTAGTAGTCATCACCGTTCCCTGAGTCCACGTTTATAACTGTCCATGTCAGGGGTGAAGGTTTATCGCCATCGCGGCCCAGGAGCGTGAAGGATTAGAAGATCTAATGATGACCATTCCGTATATTCAGGAGAGAGACAACCGAGAAAGAGCCAGAATCGAGTCCAGAGTCCAGCCTGTCTTATCGTTGCATGCCAATAGCATCGTCAACGGCAGGTGCGGTGGATGAACCAGAGATAGCAGTCTGTGGTTGCGAAGATGACTAGGTGGCATTGACCTTTGGAGGCCGTGAGCTACTTGCGGTAGGGATCTTCGAGGCAAATCATTTTCTCCGTTTCTCCCTCGCGCAAGCATTTCTCTACGTGAAATCAGGTGGTGCAGGAGTATCAAGGAAGAAAAGGAACGTACACATTTGCCCTTCGCATACAGGACCTCAACAACTGCGGGACCGGGTCCTTGAAACGCAATGCCCTCACCTCTTTGTCTGCGCCGTTTCAAAATGTTTCGAGCCCAGTCGAAAGGGGAGGATGGTGACGTAGCATGAGCACTGGATGGGTCGCGGTTGCGGTGGAACAGACGGCTGAGGCGTGTGGTGCCTGGCGATGCTGAGGAGTAGGGGCAGTTTCGTGCAGAGGACTGAGAGCACAGAGGTTAGGAAAATAAAATCAATGTGACAGTAATAACGTACATGAGAACGATTTGGTGGGACTCCATCGAAAAAACCTTACGGTACCCGATAAGCAGGCGGATGTCGTTGTACCGGAAGTTGTGTAGCACTAGCCTAGAGCATACAATATAGTGAGAACAACGAGATCTTTTGATGAAAGTGTCACGTACATGGAGTACCGACTGATTGGCCTGGCAGAGCAAGTTCAGTTGTGAGGATATACAATAAGACGTGCACATCAACTCACCTTTGAATTCAAAAGTAGGTCTTCAAGGCCAGCTTCTTTAACAATCCCAGCAACATCCCATGTGTACGTGTTTGTGTCACAGCAGACAGTAGCTAGTAGCTTTCCATCTCCTGAAAACGATACGGAGTCAACGAAGTTTGCATGTCGGAGGGGCGGACCGATGGGTTAATGTCGAGGTTCTACAATCAAACATCAACAAACAACATTAAAGGGACCGGTTCCTGCACGCAAACCCGAAATACCCTTTACAGGGTCCTGGAATTCATACCTAACTACATGGGATCGATGTCAACCATGGAGCCCAGCAGCGCTGCCGAGCTCAGACGATGGCTCACTAGCACTGCCTATGGCGGTCTTATTTACCCGTCCGTCTCTTTGTCCCAAGGTGCTCGATCTAACACGTAGACACATTACTATATCCTTTCCGCCGTTTGATTTCACCGCAAGCCAAATTCGGACTCTCTGCTATCGCGCAAGACGCTATCGATGCCGACACTACGATTGTGTCTTGTCCATGTTTACTAGCCATCGACGTGGAGTGTTCTCTGCATGCTCTGACAGCCCTATTTGGCGAATTGACTCTCGTTGACCTGCAGTCGTGGTCGGAAAGGCAGCTTATTTGCACTGACTTGTGTTTACACTGCATCTTCCCCGATTCAAGGTGCATTGAACTAATACTGCCTCTCTACGTGCGCATCTGATAATCATAATCCATTACAGTCAAATTCCCGATGCCCTTCGATATCTTCGGAACACATGTCGAACCTTTATCCACGCTGTTAATCCGGATTGGGCTGAAAGATACACTTGGTACGCTTCTCCCGTGCTTGTTTTCTCCGGGTACGCCTCTCAAACCAGATCAGGGACAAATACTCAAGAGCATCAACATGTCTTTCAACCCGCGCATTTCCGTCCACGCTTCTATCTCGATCTCCTACGCTGCAGACCACCTCTTCGAGTTACCCGTTCATACTTCCGAGAGTAGACATCCTCAACCATTCTCGTGGACAGCCTGTTTCTTGGTGCACGTCGTATCCAGAAGGAATTACGAAAGAAAGGGATGAGTCGACCACTATTTCCATCATCTCGCATGCCACGACGCCTCTTGGCGAAGATGTCTTCAACAACTATGGGCTCAATGAACGACGAGCTGATCCTCGGATATGGTTTTTCGCTGCCACAAAACTCGGATGATAAAATTACGCTACAGCTAGGTGGGTCTTCTAACAAGTGGCGATCAGTCGTCTTGCAAGTGGTGCGGAAGGACTCTGGAACGATGTGGGGCGATTGGTGACTGAAACCCCGGATGAAATAGGGTATGAGGAATGAATATGGAGAATTTGAAAGAGGGTTTATTGGGGGCGCACACCCTAGGTGCCTACGACATGTGTAGCGATATGGAAAGATGTAAGAACTAGGTCTAGAAGAGATAGCCCAATGCCATGAGCATTCAGACTTCGGATGTACAGTCCTAGTCGAGAGTCAAGAGCGCTGGCGCCAACCAGAACAAAATCGCGACTAAGTCCCATATATATTGATCAATATTTGCGACACAACGAAAGGATAGTTTGATTGTATTTTCAGATTCTATTGAAAGACAACAGGGTGTATTTTTCATTTGGGGAAATGCAAGAAATTACTAAAAAAGATCAGACTGGACTGTGTTTCCGTTTCCCGGAAGCAGTAATCTACGTGGTCGTGCTGTGAAATCATGATCCTCATGGAGCTTGAACGTAATTTATATTAGCTTGGTTATAGATACTAAATGAGATACCTACCAACGAGGAATTTACAAACAAGTCCAGATCATTCTCCGGGTCGCCCTCCTCGACATCACGAACCACCGGACCCAAAAAGATAAACCACCCAAATGTCGCTATCGGATCTTTCCACTGCAAATTCCCCCAGAAACATAACATGACCACAAACTCCAACGCCCACGCCAATGTAGAACCGAAAATTATGGCCAAATCTTTTAGAAGATCTTCGGTATGCATGATATTAATTGGAGTTCCTGAAGATGCAGTGCTGCGACTTTACCTGTCCACTTCCACTCCAGTCTCAAGGTCTCACGATCGTACCATTCGGAATCGTACCATAGTAGGATGGATCCCCACAATACACAAAAGGCCCAGCATAGTAGCCAAAGGCCGGATAAATCCTCTTGGCACATTCTGCGGGTAGATGGAATTCGTACTAGGGCGACAGCGAAAAGCCAGGTTGCCGCCATGCTGATGACAAAGCCCACTCCGGTCCAGGAAGGGAACACATTACTGTTGATGAAATTGATGTTTATGAGGAAGTGAGTCCAGAAGACGACACATCGATGTGCTATTATGTGAAGTGCCATCGTGATGGGCGAATCTAGAAAGATTTAGATAAGAGTTGATGGTACTTGCAAGCTTGAAGCTTTGAAGCCGGAGGAACGAGGGCAAGGTAGTTTGGCGTGAAAGATTTGGATAGGGGTAGATATTGTACCCGCGGTGTGACCCGCCTCAGTGTGACCCGAAGGATAGACGCCAGTCAAAAGCCCAAGGGGACTGATTCACCCGTGCATTGCCTCTTGGTACCATTCGCGAACGTGACTTTCACTGCATCTTCGCTTTGCTCGAATCAATGACTTGATGGCCCCACTTGATCTCGATTCTCGATGCCATGCTTTTCAAGGCCGTATCGATAAAAAGCTGTTGAAATTCTCAGCGCCGCACTTGGGAAAGCCAAATCGTTCTCGCATCGTCCCTGGAAATATCGCTAATAGTAGTAGTCCGTCTTTCTTTTCAATGGGCTCGCTGTTCTTCTAGGTACAAGCAACACACTCAAAATCCAAACCCTGGGGATAACCATCTCCCTCCTCACAACCTCAGGTTGACCCGCAATTAAACATAAGCCTCTACCTCAGAAACGCACCACCACCAACTTTTCATGTCAATTCTCATGCTTCGATGTTCTCTAATCCGTCATCTGTCTCTTTATGCCTAGAAGGTGGGTCGTCGGTCTGATGCCTAACGCGAAATATGTTTATCCTCCATGCGGTTTGTCAACTCTGGACAGCATGAAAGTAGCCGGTGCTTCTAACTGAATTCGTTATAGCGCTCGAGATATATCAACACTCCCGATGACGGTCGATCTTGCCGAGACTCTAGTGTCTACAGTGTGCCCCCGCATTCCTATTCATCACGTACGAGCACTTACCGTGTTGTAGTGTCGCTAGGTAACTTTGGTTGAGGCTGGTGCCTATCAATGATTTGGATGTCAGCTCTCTCAAGATTTTACGGCGGAAATGCGTTCACGTTTCCGATCGATAAGTTGGTTGTCAAGCCTTCCAAAGACGAACGATTCTGACAACCAACTTATCGGAAAAGCTCAGCGAAACTGGTGATGACGTCATGAATCATTCATCTCACCTTGCTTGCTCTGGCGCGTACATTCAAGGAGTGTGTATTATAACCAACGAATGGCATCAGATGAATACAAAGAATATGTGTACTTGCTGATACACGAATGATTGACAGCAAACAAAAACAAGTCAGCTGCAGTAGCAGGAGTGAAATTTGATTACATTTCGTAGTCATCCTCTTTCTCATCCTCCTCTTCTTCGGCGGGCTTTGTGACCATGTCTAATCGAGAAGTGGAGTTCTCTTTGTTCCAAGTCCTGCGTATCTGTAAATCTATTTATTAGTGCTTGAGAAAGAGATGAGGAAGCAGAGCCCATTGAGAGCCCAGATCCGTGATGCTGATCGAGGATTCCTTGGTACATGATGGGTGGAGCATACGCGTGTGGGTTCGCACATCATCTATTCCGTGAGGTGCGAACCCCCACGATGATACAGGGCGCGCACGGATTCTTGTAGGGGATCAGCAGCATTTGAGTAGCGGTGAACATGAGTGGCGTGCGAGAAATCGCCCTTTGTCCCACATGGTGCGCAACTCTAGCACCGCACCAAATCATCAGATCGCTATGACAATCACAATAATATATAGCGATCATAATAGTGTGCATGCTATTGTGCCATAGACAATAGAAAGGGTATCCGTAATTGGTAATTACTGACAGCAAACAATAAAACAATCAGTAGCGGTTAAATTTGGTCATGCATACTTAAATCTCATTAGCCTCCCAAAAATCAGAGTCGTCCTCTTCCTCTTCCTCTTCCTCTTCCTCTAGTTGAGAGACAGTTACAGAAGTCGTGAAACTGGGTGTTCCACTCTGTGCGTTTTGAGACATTGGCGGGGCAAACCTAGGGTACGGGCAAGCATATGCAAACACTATGGTAGGTGCTGCCACAGGTGCGGGAGAAGCAGAGCTTCCGGAGTCTTCACCAGCTGGGTATGACGGCGGAGCGACCACAGTTCCGGAGTCTTCACCAGCTGGGTATGACGGCGGGGCGACCACAGCTGTGGCCCGTTTACACGTGCCGTTGTCCAAATGTCTTTTGTACGAATCACCTCTCGTATAACTAATCACCACAACGTTAATAATGAGATGCGTCAATCATAAGAGTTAGGATACGCACGATTTGAAACAAAGAGAACATTTAATTCTCTTTAGTTTGGAGCCTTGGTGTTTGTCGGATATCATGTGCTTACGATAGCCGTGGGGTCCAATTTCCCCGCCGTCTATCGAGCAAACAAATTTCCCTGTGGGTTGACCATATTCATCAACCACGGGTTTCTGTCCTAAGGTTTGAGAGTGCGACCTCAATGAGATGAGAAAAAAAAACTCACGAACAGCGGATCGCTGTATATCTTGTGTAAGCTTGTTGTTGATTTTTTGGCCTGGCAGCGTCGACGGACTTGACAGCTTGGTGCTTGAGGGAGAGACGAGGAAGCAGAGCCCATTGAGAGCTCAGGCCCGTGATGCTGGTTAAAAATTCCCTGGTGCGGGATGGGTGGAGCATATGCGTGAGGGTTAGCACCTCCCGGAATAGATGGGAAGTGTTGATGATATAGGGTGCGCGCTGGTGGGGGAGCAGCGACATCTGGCGGTAGGTATTGGCCAATCTGAGTGGCGCGCGAGACATCACCCACTGCAGGGGGGTAATGACCATTTTGTCCCGCTTGGAACGCGTGGTGCGCAACTCCAGCACCCGCATCAGTCGAAGGTACGACAGGCGTGTATTGGGGCGCGGGACCACGCGTCCAATGAGGCTGCACACCGTACGGGTGGTAGGTGGCGTAGCCTGGATAGGGAATGTATGCGGGCTCGGGCCCAGGTAATTGACCCATATGCATGCTACTGCTTCCTATGTGTCGTGTTGCTTCGGAAGAATCCGAACTGTGTGGTGAGGAGGCAGGGGGGGTGGATTGGGTCAACTGGAGGTGACAAGTAGATATAGTTAGAAAGCACAGGCGTTGAACCTGGGGAGAGCCGTACCTGGGCTCCCATATAGTGATTTGAGATGTTAAGGTTGTCTGTATGCGTCCGTGGTGATAAAAAGTCCAGTAGATGAGGGACAGAGGGTGAAGGCCACCGTTGTATATGCTCATCCAGCGCTGGTATTCTCGAGGTTTGTTTCCACTGGGAACTTCCTTTCGGGGAAGATTGTCTTTTGGGCGCCATTATTCACTAAACGGACGGTGGTTGTTTTGTTTGATGCGTCAGTTTTTCTTCCACACTTGAGTTGTTCAGTCTTGTTTCAAGTGCACGATGATAAAAAAAAGAAGTGCGCTGTTGATGAACCGTGGAATGTTTGTGTTCCCCTGAGGTCAACAATCTGATTGGGGCATCACAACTTATGTTTCTGGCTCCGCGAAATAGTTGAATAATCGTAAGTCCATGGCCGATTCGCATAAGTGACAAGACTCATCAGGTCTCCACCAGTCCTGTCGGTGCTCTGGGAGAAACAGTCTGGTGAACTGGTCAACAACGGTCACCAAGAACGAACCCACGCGAGGTGCAACAGGCGATGCAAAATTCAATGTACACCTCTCGCATCACGTTCTAAACCCGTGCTTTTAGAGACAGCCAGCATCCAACTCGAGGACACTCAAGAGCGAAGCTTCACGGGAAAGATCACCATAACTGCATTTCCTTGCGCGTACTCACAATTTTATTTGGTTTCCTTTATCACATCGTAACATGCCGTCGTAGATTCTGGCCCAACTTGACTCCCCTGACCAAGCTAGAGAACCGACCAAAATTTTATTTTCCTATCTTCAAATCTACACAGTCGAGTTGAAGGAGATCGCCGCCTTGCAACATTAGTCGATTGACGTAAAGGTGTGTCTTTGCCAGCCAACTGAGAGCCTACAACCGATCGCTTTTTAGTGTTTGTACGAAGAGCAAAACATCATAAATTGCAAGGAATAACCTCCTGGCCCCGAAGGACGGGTGGTATGGATACCATGAACAGTAAAGGAGTAAAAATTCACTTACCCATGACATCAACTCAAGGGAGCACCAAAAACTGCCTTCACCCTTGAACAGTCGTCTCTGGCATTGCTTTGAACCACTGCGGCTCGTGAATACAGCACAGAAGCGACATCCGCATGTCCTGGTGCGGCCTGAATCCAGAAGTCTGGATCGGATGGAGCGACAGCGTGTGCATGAAATAACTGGTTATAAAGGTGAAACTGCGTTATTGCTGAGCAAAAAGTCATACCTGAGGACACATGGGTATATTTGACAGTGCAACGTACGACCAGCGCATTGGTATAGACTTTCGAAGTGCGGCCGAACGTCGACCAGGTAATATTTCCGGTCATGACCATTCATGGTTCAGAGGCTTTCAATACTGATATTTCGACCAGGCGAAGATCGATTGTCATTTGGTTGCCATATGACCTTCCTATTCTCCTCCTGCTAGTGCGCCTTACAGCTTGTGGTGCGTGTCAAATACCCTCTGCATCATTTTTGATGGGCCTACTCTGAGGCCGCACTCGCATCAACTTTGCAATGGTTTCGGATATCACGGCAGAGGTGCAGACACGCATTTGAATAGATTTTAGACGGTCGTCAACTTGGTGCAGCAAAATGCGCTGTGCGTGCATGAAGAGAAGGAATACTGTTGGTTGACCTCCGAGTCGGTCCTCGGATTCTAAGCGTCACATCCGAATCCCGATAGCTAGCGTTTGTTGTACTGTTGTTTAATTGTTGACTCTCACGTTTGCATACTACAGCCTACAGCACACTACTTGGCTTGGCCTACGAGAATGCGACTCAACGCGAAGCTGATTGAATCTAGCGAGCTTGAAAATGAGGTCAAACGAGCTTTTCGTCATTTCAGTGCAAGATTGCGACCTTCAAAACTTCCAGCTCATTGATTATGATTCTACCGTGGACTCTCCTTGAAGACAAGTTTCATGCTCTGAATTTCCCCTTCTTTGGAACTCACGTTGCGCCGTGGCATGCGAGAACCACGCGGGTGGATGCCGCTCCAAGGTCAGATCATATTCTGTGGATTGTTCTAGAGCAAGTTACGGTCATCCTCAGCTAGTAAGGACATATCATGCAAAGATCCAAAGATGTGGATTTCGCATCAAGTGCTGGTGACTCAAGTGCTCATCACCGGAGCATTGTAACCTCCTTTGTCCCTCTCAAGCCAGGTCCATATAACTTCGTGAACCTTGGCTCGTGCATTTCTCTTAGATCCATCCAGGTCAAAAATATCACTCCCTGAATTAGTGTCGACACCTGTATGAAGTTGAAAATCGAACAGTAAAACCAGGCTTACGAACGCGGCAGCCTAATAACATCCGAACCGGCAGTCACCAAACACAGGTGCGTTTATTCTGCGCTCCTGTCGAATTCCGTGAAGGCGATAAGCCACTCTTACTTACCAAAATGGACCTATGATCTCCCATAAATCTAACACATGTAGCGCTGACCGAAGTCAATCATATTTGTGGATGGAACAATTTTTATCGTAGGGCCGTACGTCCTATGATCGGACCTACGGTCTATTTCAATACTACCCTGGATGGGAAGGTACGTCTGCATCAAATTCCTTGTCGTTAACTGATGAAAATGGACAGATGCACATAGAATTGGCGAGCTGACAGCGGCTGTCGTGAGCGTGCTAGGACGCGCCGCCACCCTTGACAAACGGAGATCTGAGTGCCTCGAGATATGTTTGTAAATAGCGAGGGCGCAGAACTATGAGGTATCATTTGAGCCCTACGCACACCGTAGATGCGTCCAAGTATCAATATCGTCGTTGTCTCACTCATTTCTTCTTTCGAGAGAAAATCGAGTCTTACCACAACACGCTCAGTTACTTGGCAGACACAACTGGCCATTCTGGTTTTGCTGTCTTTGTTCGGACGCATGACACTCGTGGATTTGGTAACACCAAAAACTTCTTTGGAGATGAAGATGAACGTGAGGCCTTGAGGGGCGGATGGCGTATGCCAAACGTCAAGCTTCTTTATGTCGAATGCTTACCGAGTCCTTCAAGGCCAGCTGGGCTGACACCTTGGTGCTTTACGTCGTTTGAACAACAGATAGGTTGGTCATGTGGAATGGCGGGAGGGCGCGAGAAAGCAAAGATTACCTAGAAGGCGGGTCATCACGAAAGTATCATATGTTGTTTGCATTCTGCTAAGGGAACATGACATTCCTACTTCATTTAAAGTGAAAAAAAATGTCGTGGTAGAGACCGCACGAAGACATTGAACTAGTATTTGATTGAACGGACATGGAGAATTTGAAAGACTTCATTGTGGGCGCACACCCAAAGTGCCTGTGAAATGTATAGCGATATCGAGCGACGATATGTAGGAGCCAGGTCTAGAAGAGATAGTCCAGTGCTGTGAACATTCAGACCTCGGATGTGAAAGGTTTCCCATCAAGTTGCGAGTTTGAAAGATGCAACAAATCAGGATCATCATCAGGCTTGAACGTGATTTTAGTGTGGTTATGAATACTGAATGAAATACCTACCAACGGGGAATATACAAACAACTCCTCCATGACCGGGCCCAAGTTGATGAGCCACCACATTTTCGCGATCGGATCATGCGTCCAGAAATTCCACTTCGAATTCCAGACCCACACACTTAACGTGACCAAACAATATAGCGCATATGCCAATAAAGAACTCAACACCATGGCCTTTCTTTCCAGAAAATCTATGGTATTAGCATGTTAGTCGGGGTTCCTGAAGTTCAAGCTGCTGCAAATTTACCTGCTAGTGACCTCGCCTCTGCGGTCTCACCATTGTCATCATATATCACTACGGCTACCACCAACAATCCATAGAAGGCCCAGCACAGTATGGGAAGTTTGAATGGTTCCTTTAGGAAAATTCTGCGAGTAATTGGGATTCGTATTAGGACGATGGCTAAGAGCCAGGTTGCTGCCATAATGACAACAGTGGCTACTGGGGCCCAGGAAGAGAACCACGGATATTGGATGATGATAGTGTAGATGGCTTGAAAGCAGATGTAAAGGATTGCTCGTATATATACTACTGGTTTCAGCATTGTGCCAATGGGTACAGTAAAGAGGAAGATTTGGATAGGGGTAAAATCGATCCCACCCCTGTGTGGGCAGTTGTTTATAAAAGAGTTGCTGTATCGAAGATCAGTACGAGTATATCTCTCGAGTCTCGACACCATAAGAACAACAATTGAAAAGGAAACACACAATCCTATAATCATATGCAATTTGGGCTTGATGCTCTTGCATGTCCTGTACGACATGATACATATGATAGTGATGCAAATAATGTAAAAGAAGCCAGCATTAAATCACCACAGCTACCCAGGGACGTGAAAACATATCAAAAAATCAAGATACAACTAGTTGGGAGCATACCACCAAAGGGTGGTGACACCAACGGGGAATGTGTACGTAGCCTATGATGATGATCAGGAAACTTATCCATAAATATTTAGAAGGTTCACCTACTTGCATACCTCTAAACTCGATAGTGGCCTTCACAGGCTGAGGATTCCAAGTGGTGGACGCACTGTCATCCCTGACGAAGGATCAGAATCTTGTCATGCAGTTGGAATCCCAGGAATCCCTACCAGTTCAGTACGACGATGCTGTACCTGTTCCAGTCGCTCGATGAAACCCTACCCGTCTTGTAGGCGCCAACCACAAGAGCCCAGTCAAGCGACCCACCGACGCTCACACCAATTCGCTGGCCCCATGGACCGCCGGCGTCGCGAGGAAGAATGGCTTTGGAGGCTTGAGCCATGGAGTAAAATTCTTGATTTACGCTCCAGGTCCCATTATTGTTAATTTGGACTACACCACGGCATCCACCACCACAGCTGCCTGTTCCTGGAAGTAATGGCTGGCCGCTGCCATCAAGTGCGAGATTCCACATCAATCCAGAGGAGGAACCATATGAGATGCTGCCAATGAAGCTTGAAAGTACCATACAAGATCAGAGGATAACCAAGTTCAGGAACTAGCTACATACATACTATCCATATACCACTAGTAACTGAATTAGTTCATTTCGTCCGACGCAAGATAGATCGTAGACGGATACCTTGATATCGTTCCACCAGTCACTGCCAAGGGTTCCCGAACACTCCGTGAAGTACACTTGCTGAACGACTCACTAAGGGAAGGATCGATCAAAAGCTCAAATTGAAATACCTTGTTCGGATACTGGGATGTGAACAAGGCCTGGTCACTAACGGAACCCCGATAACAATGGAAAGATACCCCATCGAAGGCACTTCCAGCTTGTTTCATCTGCCAACGTCTCAGCAACGCGCACAAATCAGCCCAGGAGCATCACGCACCAGTTGGACCGGGTAGTTGGCAGCATCCACCCAATTGTGGTCGTAACCGATGATCTTGACACTCGACAAGCTATGATTGTTCAACAACGTGCGCAGAGCCAGCCCAATCTGAGCCTCATTGCCACCGTC